CAACACATTGACACGACGCCAAATGTAATTAAGAGCTTATACTTCATGTATAATTTTTCACACATACACCTTTGAAGTTAAACCAAATACATTAATAGAATAGAGCCATTAGCAAATTTGTCCTATATAAATGGCTTACTTTTCCAACTCTTGAGAACTCAAAACACAATACTAAGAAGTAACAATGGCAAAAAGCAAGGTTCTTGTTGTAGGCGGCACTGGTTATATTGGCAAGAGGATTGTAAAAGCTAGCTTAGCTCAGGGACATACAACGTATGTCTTGCAGCGACCGGAGATCGGCCTCGACATCGACAAACTACAGATGTTGTTGTCGTTCAAGGAGCAAGGTGCTCGACTTGTCGAGGCCTCGTTCTCCGACCACCGGAGCCTTGTGGAGGCTGTCAAACAGGTGGATGTTGTTATATGCACAATGTCTGGTGTGCATTTCAGAAGTCACAATATCTTGTTGCAACTCAAGTTGGTTGATGCCATTAAAGAAGCTGGAAATATTAAGGTATATATTGTTCAAATTCTCTTGATGTTAAAGTTCATTCTTCGGTAGAAATTTACATAGATCGTAATCAAATTATACACAGATTGGTACGTAATCCACCAGAAAACTACATTTTTCCTTATATCTTCAGTCTCGAGAATCAATCCGTCTCAGAAGACTGGATTAGGCATTACTATACGTACCAAAAAATATGTCATAACTGTCATATGGTTTATGAAGACTTCAACCATATTTTATGATATACTAGTAGCCAAGAATAAACTGTATCTCACATTTAATTTTTAAAAAAAAGAAGTGAGTGACTATGTGTGTCCACACATATATATAAGGAGACAGAGAGTGAGAGAGGAGAGACAGAGAGATATATACCTTAAAGGCTTAAACGACCAAAAACTAATCTTGAGATTAAAGTGTTTTTGATTTTGCCTCACACATCAAGTTGATATGTAGTAGTCTAGTAGAGTAGTATTTCTTTTCATGCTTTCCTATAAGCTAAAAGTAAGTTTGATTCAGGGAAAAGAATGAGAAATAAAGTGGTTCTACGTATAGCGAAATACATGATAATTTACTTTGGAGTGTAAAATTTTGTCATACGGAAATAATAAATGTATACGCATTCATTTTCTTTCTACAACACCTTCTGTCATTTTCTTTAGGTACACCTTTGAATGAATGACACTTGTTCAAGTCGATTGTTAAATGTCTAGATTAAGTAAGCCATAGCCATAGCTAAAGAAGTAAAATTTGCGAAAACACTCCTCCAACTTTTTAAAGAAATCTCTCATCTCCTTTATATTTTCGGTCACATTAATATCATTGCTTTCATTTAATATATTATACATCCAAATATAAAAGTATCTTAATCAATTGAGATTATGTACCTAATGGGGTTGGTTCTCATTTCTGATTATATGGCTAATTTGTAACCAAATCTTGTCTCTTTTCTGATTGGCTAATTTTCTTTTGGTTTTCTCGTTTGATTTCGTTGTTCATGTCTAATAAAATTTTACGTGAAAAGGTTACTTCAAATAGTACATATATAGTCTAGTTTTAACCTATTTATCGAAGTTTAAGACCAGGTTTAAGATCACGGAGATTAGTTAAATTAAAGGGTAAGCTGTACATTTTACTCGGTGAAAAATGGACAAGAATTTCCAATGCACTGTATTTGAATGGTAACCTGTCCATTTCTTTCTTTAAAAAAATATTCCATTATATATTGGGGAAAAAAAAATTGCAAAGTGAACAATCAAACCGTCTTACAGTTCAGCTAGCCGACCAACCAAATTCAATTAACCCCGTAAAAAGTATACAAATTCCAATATGACTATTTCTACTGAATTCATTCTGTAAATCTAGTCAAGAAAAAAGAAAGAGACAAAAAAAATATGGAAAAGATAAAGTTGGTTAAGATGGGGAGCAGTGAATAACATTGCTATCCCATGATGAAACTTTGACTTGACTCATAAGGATGGTTAATTGAATTGTACTAATTATTCACCCTTAATAGTCGACACAGACTAATTGCCTCTTTTGGCAAGCTTATTTTTGATGAAAAGTGCTTTTTTTTTTGCCAAAAGCATTTTTGGTCAAAATTGAAGTGTTTGGCCAAGCTTCTGCAAGAAAAAAAGTGCTATTGAGAAAAAGCAGAAAAAAATAGCTTCTTTCCAAAAGCACTTTTTTGAGAAGCGCTTTTTGAGAAAAATACACTTAGAAGCAGTTTTTTAAAGCTTGGTCAAACACTAATTGCTGCTCAGAAGTGCTTTTCAAACTAATTAGCCAAACACAAATTGCTTCTCACCAAAAGTACTTTTAAGAAAAATACTTTTAGAAAAGACACTTTTCAAAATAAGTTGATTTTTGCAGCTTGGCCAAACGGGGTATAACTTTCTCCGGCTTCTAGATGTGATGTTCCACGCTTTCGTCAGATTTAACCCATTCTTACGTCATGCAAACTAACTAGTTTATCTTTATATATGCTTTGCACATTTCATAGGCTAATATGAAAAAAAGAAAAATAGATTGTTGATTAATTGCTGGATTGTTCGAAAATCTCAAACTATACTAATATCATGTTGATTGAGTTATTGTCTTATTTAAAAGCAAAATTGTGCAACGAACATTTTTATTTATTTATTTACTTTAAATCTACAACATTGATTGTTGAATATTTCCTAGCTCAAAATGTTGCAACTATCCTAATGAATCAACATAAATGCTTATTTATATAAGTACTCCTTCCATCTCATTTTATGTGATGTTTGACTGAGCATAGAGTTTAAAAAAGAAAGAATATTTTTATAATTTACGGTCAAAGTCAAGTTATAAATATTTGTATGGTAAAAAAATTAATTTCATTAAGTTAAATATACAAAAAAATATTGGTAAATTATTTCTATGTATATATATAAAGGTAAAGAAAAGTGCAACACATCAACTGGTACTGAAAGTTTATTTCTTTTATACCAGAAAAAGTAATACTCCGTATTATTTTCTTTTTTTCCCTTCTTACTCCCCTCATTCGTCACGCCAAACTCATCTTTTCGTTCCATTTCTCTTCTTATTAGATAGTATAATATTCATCCACGTATTTTATGTAAAGATACGAATCCATTTCTCTATGTATATATTTCCTTTCGATATAGGTAACCTTTTAGTACTCCAACAATTACGTACCATGTGGTCTTCGACACATTTGCTACAATCATCAAGATAGGACAAACCATAAAAAAAAAATTAAACTAATTGAGTATTACATGCATGATCAAATTCAGAACTCCTGTATGCTGAGGTACTCGTGTAACCTTGAGGGGTCATTGGGTTTTTAAACTTGGGTAAAACTTATATATATATATATGTATACCTTGAATTTAATAATCTAATCACTTGACACCCTGAATATTAATTAAAAATCTTTAGGGAAACACTGAATGAGTAGCATACTGATGCTCCCTCGCGTTAATTAAATTATGGGTCCGCCTATGCGGCTGTATGGAGTAATAATTTTGCTATTTCATTTTCTTGTTTGTTTTGACACAAAGAAATAAAATTGGCAGCGGTTCTTGCCATCGGAATTTGGAATGGATCCAGCAATAATGGGACATGCAATAGAACCAGGAAGAGTGACATTTGACGAGAAGATGGAAGTGAGAAAAGCCATAGAAGAAGCTCATATTCCTTACACTTACATCTCTGCTAACTGCTTTGCTGGTTACTTTGCTGGCAATCTCTCTCAACTTGGAACTCTTGTTCCTCCTAAACACAAAGTTTGTGTCTATGGACATGGCAATGTTAAAGGTACACACATTAATTTTTCTGAATACTTGTAGGATATATACCCTTTTCAGAAAAAAGATTAATTTTGTAATAATTATATGCAGTGGTGTATATGGATGAAGATGATGTAGCAACATACACAATTAAAAGCATAGATGATCCAAGGACACTGAACAAGACAGTGTACCTTAGGCCACAGGAAAACATTCTGACTCAAAGGGAGTTGATAGCCAAGTGGGAAAAGCTGAAAGGAATAGACCTTGAAAAAATTAGCGTCTCTGAACAAGACTTCCTCTCTTCCATGAAAGGTACTTCCTCTAACCAAAAAGAACTCCTTTAATTTTCTGGGAATTAATTAGTGGAGTAATTTTTTGTTGGCGATTAATTATTTTTTAAATACTCTTGAACTATAAACATTTATAATTTATACCAGTACATTCTATGTAGTTGAATATGTAAATATTATTTCAAAAGATTGAATGCATATTTTATAACTAGTTCAAAGAATTTGGTGAAGATCGTGACTCTGAAAATTGTTCCTATTTATGCTTTTGGTTAATTTTGTACTAAAAGAATAATCTTAGTACTCACTTTTTCTAACCTTAATATAATAATTCAAAATGTCCTTGTCTGTAGCTTTAGTACATGACATATTGTCATTTGTGTATTTTCGTATTCTTTGATTCCTGTTACTATTTGTTGTTGCTTTCGTTTCGGCTTTCTGATTATAGTACCCAGTATTAGTTTTGTATTTTTGCTTCGGTTTTCTGATTGGTGTGATTGTTGTTGCCCTTTCCTTTTACCTCTCCTAGCCGAGGGTCTACCGGATACAACCTCTCTGCCTTCTTGAAGGCAGGGGTAAGGTCTGTGTACACACTATCCTTCCCAGACCCCACTTGTGGGATTACACTGGATTCACTGTTGTTCTGTATTATAATAATTCAAAAACATTCGGTCCCCACTAAAATAAAAGGAGAGGATTCATGTAATTGACATTTGAGAAATGGTAATATTGCAGGAATGGACTATGCTGGACAGGTAGGAGTTGGACATTTCTACCACATATTCTACGAAGGTTGTTTAACAAACTTTGAAATTGGAGAAAATGCAGAAGAAGCTTCTGAACTTTACCCTGAAGTTCGTTACACTCGTATGGATGAATATCTAAAACGCTATCTTAATTAACTTTCTTTTTGATACAATATATATGTTTGATTTGGAGTTCAAAGAAAATTACAGCAAATAATGTACTATAATAATCTTGTGTACTGAAGAGAACAATCAATGATAATCTTCTATTATTTCTGCAATACTTATCACAACAGATATCATTTACTGTTCTTTAACTTTCTATTCATTACAAATCAACTTTGTAATTACAAAGATGAAGAATAACATACGATCAGTAATCACAGCTTCACATATCAAGTTATAATGTTTTCAAAGCATAACTAAAAAAAGGTAGCTTAACTATGTGCTATGTTTCCAATCTTCCATGTGAAAGTGCTTTGGCTTCCAACACGGCTGCATTTGCACCAACAAAGTCATAGCTATTTCTGGAATTCAAATCGAAGTTAAGATTCATATTGCTCTTTTGTTCTTCCTCCACAATGTAATTAGACCTTTGTAGCTCCTCTTTGATATTATCATCATGTGTTGTTTTACCGATAATGTTATCATTCCGGTTCTGTCTATTCGTGTAATTCATTAAATTTGACAGAGGTAAATCCAAATCAGTAAGCTGAGCTCTTGTTGCTTCCACTGCACTAGGAGAATTCATGTTCACTGGAATGCTCTTCTGAGCTTTACTTAATATCACTTGCAGATACTTACCTTGTGCCTCTATTCTCATTTGCAATTTCTGTTGCACCTGTTTAGACCAGAGAATTAGTCTGGCGATTAGGATGAGGATCATGTTAGGGTAAGACAAGACTAAGATCATTAGTTCACAGATCATCGCGCAACACCATTATATGTGTGTGTTTGTTTTCATGGTTTTCGCTCACAAGGAATACTAAGCTCACGCTATGTGCGGGGTCGGGGGAAGGGATAGGGCTGGACCACAAGGGTCTGTTGTACGCAGCCTTACCCTGACTGTTTTCATGGCTCGAACCCGTGACCTCTTGGTCACGTGAGGAATACAAATAGTGCTAGCAGATACGTTTATGCATACCTCAAGCTGGTCCTGTAATCTTTTCTGAACTTCAATCTGACTCATTACTGCCTCTGCTATTGGAACATCTCTGTTCAGATATTAGTGAGAAGACACTAGTTTAGCCGAATAAATTAAGCTTAAAAAGGTCCATTATGGTTAAACCAAATATACATAAAGCCTAAAAAAGTACACATATATGCAACTGTAATTAAACCAGTGCTTATTTTCTCAAGACGTAAAATAAAGAAGCATTGATTTGCAAACCACTGGAAATTAATAAAAAAAAAATATTAGTCCCTAAACGAAGTATCTTATGGCTTGTAACTAAGATAAATGACGAGCAACAAAGTGAAGAGTAACAGTTGAGATTCATGGCACCTACCCTTGTATATAGTTCATACTTAATGATGAGGTACCAGGGCCTGAGGAATGCAAATTAAATTGTCCCGACGAATCCCCTATGAGATTGGAGAAAACAATATATGCAACCATAAGTTAACTTCAATATATAGTGCAAAAAAGAAAAAAGAGAGAAAAATGATCTCAAAATACAAAGATCAAGCAAAGGTTTAATTTGTTTTGCTTTAGTTAGTTGACTATTTGTAAGATCAACATTAAGCATTAGGATAACGGCCAAAATGTAGGAATAGCAAAAAGCTTGAGGAGTCCATTATGTTCTTTCTGTGGTTGGATTCTCCAAATTATAGCAAACTCACCACTACTGTTTTCTTTGTTTTGCTCCGCTGCATTTTGTTTCTTGGCCTGCTGTCCAAGTCTATACTTCTGAATATACAAGGAGAAATTAAAACCATTGGAAAGGGTTATTAGAGAGAGAGAAATTGGTAAACAGAAACAAGCACTTATACCTGCAAATGACTCTTCAAATGGTATAGTGTCAAACCCTTCACGCCCATTAACCTCAGTACTGACTTGGGAGTTGCTTCTGTAAATCCAAAACCTTCTATCAAACATTTGCAGAGCATTAAACGGAACTGACTCCAAATTGTTGGAAATCACTTGGAACCAGTGTTTTAAAAGGATTATCCAGTTGAAAAGCAAAAAGTTGAATCCAACCCTGAAAAATTAGCTTCTTTCTAAAAACAATGACTTGGGAACATATGTATAGCCAAAGAAGGCCATAGAAATTGGAAACTTTATAGTAGCCTACAGAAGGCCATTCCAAACCAATTTACAAAATCTGAAATGAATCCAAGTTCATACCATTTTAAAGATACACTACTACTATAATTCTAAGAGAGGTAAACTTGGATTTATTTCTAGTGACTAGTTATCTTGAATTGTTACAGAACCAAAGTGATTCCCAACTCAGAAAGCGGAAAAAGATGGCCAAACAAATGCATATATAGATACAAATCAATGCAACCCTAGCTAGTCAGTTGCAATTTAATTTGGCTAATTTGTTACAAACAAAAACAAGATTATAAGTAGAAAAAAAGAGACTCACTTTCAGGACCACCAAGCTTAGTGACAGCATCAACAAAGTGTTGATGTAGATCAACAGTCCACCTCAACCTTGGCTTTGGGTCTCTTGTCATCACCACTTCATTCTCATACATAAAACTACCTCCTCTTCCCGCCCCACTTCCATTATACATACCTACTCTTGTCTATATATTCCCACTAAATCTCAAGACACTACTCAAAATTAATGCTGACTAGAAATTAAAACAGTGAATTTGACCACCAAGAAAGCTCAAAAAGTCAATGGGGAAGAAAAACAATAAATGTAGCTTTGAAACTGATTCCGTATAATGAACAGTTCCAAGAATCTTACTAGTAGGAGGGAAAGTATCAAGTATGTAAAATCAATAAAGAGAATCAAATGGAGTTTCCAATTACAAACTCTAACGCTATAAATAAATAGTACTTACTATATATTATTGTAAAATGAAAGTATTAAAGTTAACAGAGATTCTTAGTTTGTGTCTCCTGCAACATATCAACGACAATACTTTTACATATTTCACGTAACAAATGAAGGGGGAAAAAACACGTAAGGAAAAAATTCCAATATCAAATCGAGTTAATAAAGCATGACAATGTGTATAATAATTGGTACAGGCAGATATAATACTAACTTTGTTGTGGTATCAATTTCATAAAGAAAACGACACGGAGAGGAAACATCGGCGAGGAATCTGAAGACACATGACCGCCGAATAACTAATTATAATTTCATTTTGGTTTAAGGATGACAGATTCGATCCAAAATGATAAAAAGGACCACTTTATCACATCACAACATATTAATTTTATAATTAATAATATAATATTATTATTAATTCAATGATAAACTTTATGGTGTGGTGAGGTGATGCGTCGGTGACAGCGTGGAATATTCGCCGGCAAATCAGGAATTGGAGTATTCGTGTACTCGCGTGCCACGTCCTCCCAAAGACCAACAATCCACCTCTCTTCTATTTTACTCTCTATCTTTTTTGGCAGGAGTAAAGTCAATATAATACGACGAAAAATCTTGTTAACGAAAATACAATTACAGTTGAAAAATAAAATGAAGAAAATAAAATATTTTTGTGCTGAGGCATAAATATCTCGTTCACTTTAAGGAGATTTAAGTCCACTGCAGCAAAGTCTTTATTAGTCCAGCAGTAATCCTCTTGACTTGTCTCCCCTAGAATACAATAGCCCGATGCCCCGATCACGTCGTATGACTCGAACAAACTCTGGACAAGTTGTTAAGTCCAAAACTCCACCAAAATGAACATCTTCCTAAACAAAAGTTAAAAACTCTATTCTTCTTTTTTCACAACTTTAACCTCACTTTATTGAAATACTTTACAATTACTTTCCACCACATTATAGAAAAAAGACTCATATTTATAGGTGTAGGAATTCTTCCATGAATTAAATTGAAAGAAAGTGGGGTAATAAGTAATGAAATCATGGAGAACATGGGATAATGGTTAAATTATTATGTAATTAGTGGTAGAATATGGCAGAAGAATTCCAAAAGAGTTATGGTCATTTTCTATATCATGGAGTAGTGAGAGTTATGAGAGTTATGGTCATTTTCTACATCATAGAGTAGTGGGAGTTATGTCATATTTTATTTTAATAATAAAATGTTATTATACTAACATTCACCTACTCATTTTAATATTAAAATAAGAGAGTTTACCAGTTGAAGGGAGACTATCATACATAATGAAGGTGTGCTCTACATTGAACCTCCACTTAGAAAAACAACGATCTTTACTCTAGAATCAGTAGTGGTCTCAAACTTGAACTATGACTGCTTTAGGGAAATAAATTATCACTGCTTACACATAATAATCAAGGTGTTGAAATGAGCTTTATTAGCCAGTATATTACGACCTTGTGTTATCCCGATTTTCATGTGTTTTTTAGAACAAGCCCAATTCTCATAGGAAGCAGCCTATTTTCATGCTCACATAGGTGAAATCTGTCAAGAGTGCTCATGTAACTCTAACACCTCACTCATACGAGCTACAAATTTTCATTAAGAGTTAATAAAACTCAACATCGCAAATCATTACACGACAAATGCAATCACACCATAGGGAAGGAACAATAATAAAAATAGTGCATTTCAAACCAAGACATTATATGACTCGTCCTTCCCATTGAATCTGGTTATAGGATCTCTAGTCCCCAGCTTGGGTTTCCTCATATATGACTTATGAGTTTATGGGCTTCAATCACATCCCCCTCGATGTGTTTCAGACCTTTTCTCTTACTAAGCCCTTAGTCATTGGATCTGCAAGATTATCACAAAATTTAATATAATCAACATTAATGGTACCACTTGTCAAATATGATCTCATAGTACTGCATTGTCTCCTTATAGGTCTGAATTTACTATTGTAATAACAGTTTTTACTCTACCAATTGCAGCGGTGCTATCACAATGAATTAAAATAGGAGGAATTGATTTTTCAAAATCAGAAATTTAAAATAATAAATCTCTCAACCAATTCGTTTCTTCACTAGCTGAAGCTAAAACAATTAGCTAAGCCTCCATGGTAGAGTTAGCAAGTATTATTTGCTTTTTCGATTTCCAACAAATAGCACCACTTCCCAAAGTATAAATATAACATGTAGTAGAATAGGAATCACCAGATAAAGTGTTCCAATCTGCATCAGAAAAGCTTTTGAGTACAGCAGGATATTGTTTATAAATAAGCCATAGATTTTTATACCAAGTAAATACCTCATAACTCTTGTTATGGCATGCCAATGTTTATTACCTGCTTGCTTGTAAACCTGCTAAGTATCCTACTGCATAGGCAATATCAGGCCAAGTACAATCAGTCACATATCTCAAGCTTCCAATTAAGCTAGCATAATCTTTTTGATTTAGCACATCATTGTTACTTTGTACAGGAAATAAGTGAAGATTTGAATCAAAAAGGGTTACAACATGCTTGTTATCAATAAAATTATATATTTTTTAAAATCTTCTCAACATAATGTGACTGGTCAAGGAAAATTCCATCACATATTCTAGTAATTTTCATTCCAAGAATAAAATTTGCCTAATGGCTACTAAGCATGCTTTTAGTTTCTCCAATAACATTCATGTTAGAACCAAATATTAACAAATCATCAATATAGAGGCAAAAATTACATGTGATGTAAGACCCCGTAAACGTTCACCTAAAACTAGGGGTTTCGTGGTGCTAAGGTAGACTTATGTATTGATGATTGTAAGCGAGCCACGGTACGAACTTTTTGGGTTGAACAACGCGTTGGGGAGTTGAAGAAAAAAATTGGCAAAGCAGGGCATTTCTGCGGTCTATGCGATCGCAGAACTGAAATGCGGACCACAGATCCGCAGTAGAGTGAAGCAGAGAATTGGCCAAACTTTGAAAGTTATTTTACGGTTAATTATGCGGTCGCATAATCGTTTTGTCGGCCGCACATTTTTCGTAGAGCCAGCATGAAAAATTTCGGAAGGAGGTTCTGTGGTCCCTTCTGCGATCGTGGAATTGGTCTATGGACCGCAGACCTGTCGCATACCTGCACAGAAATGCCAAGTTGAGGGCCATTGTGCGGTCCATTTTGCAGATCGCAGAAGTCTTATGCGGTTGCATATGAGACCGCATATCTGCATCGGAGCTTCATCTTTTTCTAAGTTCATAGCCGGGCCCTATTTCAATATATAGTCATTGAAGACCATTTGTAGGTAAAAATCTGATATTTTGAGAGTGAGGAAGTTCTCTATGTAAGCACGGGATTTTTGCTTCACGGACAATCGCTCCAAAAGAAAATAAAAATAGTGACAAATGACTTCGCTATACAATGTTTCGAGTTTTCCGTGACATGCGTTGTTAGTCATTTGTGGGTCTGTCCATTTTGCATCTAATCTTACCGATCAAAATACAAAGCATGTATGTCAGGGTAATTAAAACTATAATTCGGTCATTAAAAAGAACGAAAATTCAAAAAAAAAAAATATATGTATCGCTCGTTCTAGGTTGTGTTTTAATTTACTTAAATATTTTAATTTGGTGTGATAATTGTGTTGAAGTGTCACATGGCCGTTTGTTTTAATTTCATTTGTTTTATTATTTATTTTGATATTTCATTTTTTGTTTTAAAATAAGAGAACAAAGAAAANTGTATGTTTTGAACGTATTCTGTGATATACATGTTCGATTAGATTAGTCGTCGCATAAATAATTCATATAGGTTCCCAATAATTGAACAAAAGTTGTCTGATGCCCTTTGGGTCCCTGTACGTATTGTTTATGTGAACGATTGATTATTACCTGTTGTATTTAGTATAGTCGACTCGATAAACCTCGTCGATTAGTTTTCTATAACTAATGGATCAAATGAGCTAATAATTTCACATGACTAATTGAACCTTGTCACTGACTGAATGCCCGGCATCGTCTGAAATAAGTTTGTTTGCATTGCAAAAATGACTGAAAAGGTTCAGTCCAGGGCAGTCCTGAATTTGAACTTTCATGAGTTCAGAATGCCCTAATGATGCAATGGGCAGGGCAGTAATAAGCAGGGTTTAACAGGGTTAGTCTGGGGTTTGAAAAAAAAA